GCAGCAATCATTAGAAATCAGTGGCTAGAAGCTGGCCGCAATGAAAAAGCGGGCTCAGTTGTTAAGTAAAATGCCTCCACTCGTCGGAGAAGAGGGAGATGAAACCAAATGATACTTATTGCTTTCTCAATCTTTGCAAAGTCTAGATTTGGCTTCATCAAGCATACACTTCTTATAGTTTTCAATGTTTGGGTATCAAATAATAGTTAATTGGATAGCTTCAATTTAAAAATATTTTTTAATGTAATACCACTTTCCATACAAATTATATCGATACAAAATATTAGCAATGCGTTAATATTTTAGCCTAAGGATCCTGAGTACTGAGATCAAAATGAAAATAAAAAAGTCTGAAAAATAATATTAATCAACAAAAATATCGTCAATATTCTACAAAAATAATATTTTTGAAACAGATTTAAAAAAAAAATCCCTTTTGAATGTAATAAATTTAAAAATATTTGACATAAAAAATTAGGTGGAAACCCTATTAAGAATATTGATATTAAATTAGCTTAGTTAAATTGTATTGAGTCGAAAATAAGTGGCAACCTTACACTAATATTTCAAGGAACAACACTTATATACGCAAAGCATTGTTAGTGTATATTATATAAATTTTCTAGAAATAAATTAAATAAATATTCGACCAAAAATAGGTGGCAACCCTGTTCAAAAATATTTCTGAATTGGGGATTTTCAAAACGCTCTTTATTTTATACACATATTATGATGTGCTATTAAATTTGTAACTAATTCTGAATAGATGGCAACCTTAAACGAATATTTTCGGAGATAACCTATCTAGATAACTTTAAAATGTAAAACATCATTATTTGAATATAAGCGTCATTAAAGTTATATGCAATTTGTGATGTATGACCTGCTCTCGGACGCCATATAGGAACATCATCGGCATAGGCCTATTAGTAAGCATTAGTCCAATTTCGAGAAAAAACCATAGGTACTGTCAAATAGAGTTTATTCCAGTTTAAAGCAGCATTTATGTAAGCAAGAGGGATGTGTAGAAGAGAAAGAGTTGTTTCCAATTACTGCTAAAATATTACTAAATTATATGCCTGCTGTGATAAAATTTCCCTACAGTTTCATTATTCACATGCTGTGCGTTAACGACTCAGCTACTGTGCGTTCAACTAAGCAACAAGGCTGAAGGATACACTTTACAAAAATACTGACCTGCCCAAAAATAAAGTGAAAAGGCTCTATTTATAACACTGTGCGACAGTAAATTTTACACACACAAAATTAACATATTCGCGAAAATATGGACAAAATATAGCAAAACTGGATTTTTATTTTTTTCACTCAGAAGTCAGGAAATTTTTAAAGGACTTTGAAATTTCAAAAATTTGATCAATTCATAAAATTATTAAAAAATTTCAGACCGATGTGGAATAACAATGTGGGTATCAAATAAAAGAGAAAATCCCGTAGAATGCATAATGACGAATGGGTTGGAAAATTTCCTTTTAAAGTTCTATCCTTGAATATCCTTGAAAATTTGTAATATTTATTTTTGAAAAAATTACATATTAAGGACTAATATACACACGACCACATCCTCGAATTTCGTCCTCCTAGTTTTATTAACTCAACAATTTTTTTTCTCAATTCTACAGAATTTTCTCTTTCATTTGGTACCCATTTTGTTATACATTACACTGATTTTTTTTATATAATTTTTTTTTTAATTAATCATATCTTTAAAATTTGAAAGTGCTTTAAAAAAAAAGAGTGAAGAACTAAAAACGCAGCTTTACTATATTTGGTTCATTGTTTCGTGTGTTTTAATTTTTTTTTTGGTTTTTGTCGCACGGTGTAATCGTATTTTCGATAATTTTAGTACCTACTCTTGTTTTTATAATAAAAGTAAATGCCAGAGCTGTTTCTTGTACTTGAAGTTTGATGGTAAACTACGCAAAAGAGAATTGCTAATGAATAACCGGAAAAGAAGAAGGAAGCAAAAGAAGACAAGCAAAGAAAAAAAATAAAAATTGGCACTCGCAATTCAAGCAAATCGAGTGCAATTATTGTTGGTGTTGTTACAGCAATACGGAAGCTGTGCGACAGTCAAGTGTTTGAACCAAAAAATTACACATGCCTTTTGAGTGTGTGTGCGTGTGTATATTTGTTTTGCTTTTAATGCAGCTTCTACGACATATTAACACCGATTTTTTTATGTAATATGCTGATTTATTGATTGAGCAATGCGTACTTGAAGGAATTTTTCTTTTTGTTATTGTTGCTGTTTTGTTATTTTACTCTTTTTTGCTTCTAAGCCGACAAAAATTGCCAGCCATGGCTCTATTGCTTAAATAATCGATATTGCAGCGAAGAAAAGCAACAAAACATTACCAAAATACGTATGCCAGTATAATGGCATTTACAAGGCTTAAATTTGCCAAATTGTGTCAGCAACAACAATAACACACAGCCTAGCGAAAACAAATTTACAACAGCACGCCTGTAAGTAGGCTATAAAGCGTATGAAAACTGTCAAAAATCTATGTCAACTGCGCTGCTGCGTATTAGTTGTCCTTACAACAAAAAATTTTCAACATAAATTTTCACTTTCCTTGCGATAACAACAACGTTTCGTCGTCGTAACTTTTATGAAATTTCAGCAAATTCTACATTATTGGCATTTTCACGTTTTTTTTGCGCTATTTGTTGTAGGTGCACTACTTTTCACTTTCACATTTGTTGGATTTTCCAAAGCTGCCTCCCTTTTTCGCCTGCTGTTGCTGCTGCTGCGATACGCAATCAATTCATCGATTCTTTGCCACTTTGCACGCACATTTCTCCATCAAATTTCATTTCGCACCACTTCCCAATACACTGCATTTGCCTGTAAATTATATTTTTTGTTTAATTTATTGCACACATTTTTCGCTGCTGAGTGCTTCTTTTTCTTGTTCACAGATTTTCACTAAAACAATTTCCTAATTAAAATTGGCATTTGCTTTGTGTTGTTGCTGCTTGTATGCACAAATTTCCTTTTTAATGTGTGTGTGTGTGTGCGTGCGTGTGTGTATTGCAGACAACGCAGACGTTCGCCCACTTGCGCGTTGCCTTCTGGTTCGTTGCGCGTTATCCGCCGTTACGAGAGCAACTGACACGGCCGAAAGTGTTTAGCTCAGCCATTTGGTCGTAGTATTGGGCGAATTCGGTGGCCATTCTTATGCACGTACATACATATTTTGCCTCTCATCGTGGCATTTCCCACTCGGAGTTCGAAAATGCACACCTGTGTTCCACCGCAACAGCGAATCTAAACAAAAACAGCTGCTTGGTGTTCCTCTCGCAACCCCTCCTTTAATCTAAGATCCTTCGCTTGTTCATTGGCTAGCACAATTGTTTATAACCCACTCGGTTTCTACATACAGCCGAAATACACATTTTCGAAATGACCTTTGCAAGCTTATGATTCGAACTTTTGTTTTGTAGAAACTATTTCTGGCCAGCGGTTGTTGTTAAGAAGCTTACGAGACACTTTGTCGCCGAACAGAAAAATATGTATTTTGGTTTATGTGCTTGAAAGCTAAAATGGAATAAAGATTATAGTTTGGCGAGCTTGAAAGTGAAAAAGAAACTTAGCGCAGAAGAGGTGAAAATTAGTCTTAATCTGAACCTTAGTACTTAACTTAATACCTTAATACATAACGGTTGTTTGTAACAGGCAAAACGAATCGAGATAGATATAGACAAATGTATACATAAATGATCAGAATTAAAAGACTGTCTATCCGTCCGACCGTCCGTCCGTCCGTCTGTGCACACGGTAACTCGAGTAAACATCTAGATATCTTAACGAAAATATGTGTACTCTTTTCAGCGTAGGACGGATGGTATTGAAAATTGCCAAAATCGGACAATAAACACGCCTACCTCCCATATAACGGTAGTTTTCAGAAATACGAAAAATGCGATATTTTAGCTTATTGGCTTATTCACTCAAAATTGATATTTACAATGATGTTTAGACGAAAAATAAGAATGTTATACATTTTTGCGAAATGGACGTAGCCACGCCCACATATGATTACATGTGTATATCTTGGTAACCGCTTCACCAAATTTCTCCCAAACTTGGCAGTTGTTTCCTTGGTACAACATACCAAACGGCTGAACATTTTTAAAATCGGACAATAACCACGCCCACATCCCATATAACGGTAATTTAGAGGAATGCAAAATCTTCGATATATCAGTAAATACTGAAGCTAATTTATTCAAAATTTTAGAAAGGGCGTGGCACCGCCCTGGAATGCAATAAAAAATCTTTCGTATTAAAAAATTATTAAATGAACAATTGAGTATCGTTACTGCAGGTCTCCTGAAGAGAGCCAGAGTTTTCCGATCGAAAAATATTGATTTTCAAGAATTCTATACCATTTCTACCGAAGTTTGTTTTTTCCCCATATAAAATACATCGAAAAGTTTGAGCGCTTTGTGCGACCTCTTAATACTTTTTGATTTCAAAATAAAAAACAGGGTATATTTTTCGAGATATAGGGGGTGAGAGCAAGAAAATTCCGACCTTATTAATTTTGGACCACCCTAATGTGCATACATATACACACATATATCTTATAAAAAACGCGATTAAAACAGGTAACAATAAGTGCGTCATGTTTATACTACCTATATTAAGTTCATCTTGGCTAAATTTTTCAGGTAATTCGTCCAGTATCTTGATAGCACAAAAATTTCCCAAAAAGTTTTGGAGAATGTTACTACATACAGTGATAATCCTTTGCCAGATATAAATTTTGTTCTTCCGACCGTCGCTGATCATCTTGACTCTTAGAAACGTCCAGTATCTAGTCGATACTTATAATGACAGAATTGGAACCTTGCGAAAGTTTCAGAATGCTATTCTTTATGCCATTAAAGGAAGGATGTAAGTTTCAATCAATTCACAATTGGTCTACCGTACGAAAAATTCTTATTTTCTATTAAAAACACTAGAGGATTAATTATGTATTTACTTGCATCATTTGCTGATTTTTATTTATGAAATTTCATAGAATTTAGAGTAATGAGTAGAATTTAAATTTAAAACATGAATGCAAATCTGTGTATATGGTGTTTTTATATGTATGTATGTATGCATTCAAATCAATTCCCGACTACGCATAAATATGCATTTTTGTATGTGAACAGTGCAAAATGTCCCACAAACGAGATTCGTAACATTTCGCTTGAAGTTTTTACAACATAAATACATATGTATATAGTTACATATTTTTTTGTTTATTTGGTTTTATGTTTGTGGAGCAATTTAGTTATTTAATTTTACGTTATCGATTTGTTTTCTTCAAAGCGGTAGATAGGCCAAATTAGCAGCCCTCTCCGTTTCGAACATTGATTGCAAATACAAAAGCTTTTTATCTTAAATCTAAACATTATTATTTTTTATGTATATGTATATGTATGTATTTATGTAACTATACAGCTGCTTGAAGAATGACATTCGCTAGCCTTGGTAAATTTTTCTTAGATTTTTAAGAGCGTTTTGAAGGCGCCTTCAACGCAGTTAAAAATATTTGCCCAATATTCGTTTCAATAATTTAGCGTTGATTTGTAAAGTGATGAGAGTACTACATACACATATGTTTTTATTAATTTGTAACTTATGCAGATCCGACTATAAGAAGTCGATGTAGTTATTTCGCTAAAATGGTCTCTTCGCTCAAGTTCCATCACACAAGTCTATATAAAATATAAAACAATTTAGAACATTCCACCATACGGGGCATCGAATTCGTTGTCTCTCATTGAATAGCCAAATATGGTTAAGTAATTAATAATATTACTTATCAAAGTAAGTGTAGCTGCCATCCAAGTGATCTGAAATGTTAATGGATACAAAATTTTCAAATGAATTGTGCAACAGCTAATCTGTCTTACCACTTGACTGTGCGCCAATACAATTGGAAAAGCGAAGGCGCTCAGCACCATGCCAGCGCAAAGGAATAGGGCGAACTCCGTCTTTGGATTAGTCTCATTCCCTTGGGAAAAGCGTTTCGCAATGAACACCGGCAAAACGGAGAGCACGTAGAATAATAATACGAAGAATGGATAGAAAATCTTAGGTTGAGGCACAGCACACGCCAATATGAGGAAAGTCATGCCCAGGCATGTTAGAAATGCACAAACCAATAATCTGAAGTAATAAAGTTTATCAAGAATACAAATACAAGTTTATTACAACGCAATTAAGTGCATTAGATCAGAACTTTTGGTTCTTTTGTTCACTTACGCTGTTTTTAGAACACCAAGTCATTCGAGATTGCGGGTGAAGGGCAGTGCCATTGGAAGCGTAGCCAAAATGGAAATATTTTAGTATTAGTAGGGTACTGCAATAGATATACTTCACAATTACCTTTCAAAGCAGCCATTTTTTCACTATTTTCTAAATTTATAGAAATTTTTCACTCGAGATCCTTTTGTGTGTTTACGAAAATTATTGTACCTGCATTAATCATCAGGAAAACAACCAAGTGTAATCAAATGTCAAATATACTGCAGAGTTACCGGAAAGCTACAATGGATAAATAATAATCAGTTATATTATTACCAGTTTATAGAGTAATAAAAATGTTTTTTCGATTGAAAATAAACTTGAATTTAATTTAAATCAATATAAATTAGAAATACCAACTCATTTTGTGATTAACTGCGAAATTCAGTTTAAAATATTAAAATTCAGTATGGTAGCACCAGTGGGAACAGATTAATGAACAGAAACTGACTGAAGGGTTGCTTTCGGCGTTTAATGAAAGTGAACAGGAAATGAGTTCAAGTCTTTATAAGTTAAACAAAATTTATGTTTTTAAAGAACGCGAGTTGTGAATATTAATAATTTAAGTGAAATTAAAAACTTTAACATGGTATGCATGCATGAAACTATGGTAAAAGTTGATTTTCAATGTCTTACTCAGACATTTGAACATATGGTAAGAATACGTGGGTAAATTAGTTCCTAGAAAAAGGGAAAAGAGCCAGTATCAAATGGAAAATTAAAAATGGATGAAATAGCATTAAAAATTCCGTTGTTGTTGTTGTTGTTGTAGCAGCATACACATTTCCCAAAGACTTTTTGGGGAGTGTTGCTGGAGTGACAGTCCTTGTGGCCAGATATAAATCTGTGTCGTTCCGGTTACGTAGACCCGACTGTCGTGGGAACGTTAAAAAAATCCGTAAAAAGGATTGGTCAACCCTCTGAATTTCAACTAATAGTTATACTTTCGAATTGTTTGTATAAATAAATTATTCCCATTTATACGAGTATATCCTTTGAAGTCACTAATTATTCCTATTTATAAACTTATGTATGTACGTATGTGCATAACCGGAACGAGTACGAAGAGGGACTAGTCATATTTGTAAAATAAAATAAAGCTCAGGTTTCCAAGGGAAACGCTCTGTTTTCTATGTCAATTGAACTCCTTAAACATCCAACAGCGTCTATCCTCTTTTATAGACAATTCGCAATATTTTTAGCAGAGTAGTATGTATGTATAGTAGTTCTAAAGAAAATATGACGGCTGTTCAGGATCTTGTGCATATGATCTTGCATTTGCATATTTCGGTGCATTTGTAAATTTACAACAATAAAATGCAAACGGTTGCCACGGTAGCAAGCATCAAATTTCAAAATGCAATTCCAAATGTAAATCCATGGCCATTTCCTAAATATCCTGAACAGCCCCATGGATTTTAATTGAATACCTTGATTTAAAATAAAACGATTAAACCTAAAAATAAAATGTATAAATTAATTTGCCATCTAATTATAAATATGTGTTAAATACTGAGATAATTATGGATTTTAAAAGATCAATTCAAACATTTCCTTTGAAATTCCTTTTACCACATGCAAATTTCATTAAAATAAAGTCGACTTCAGAAT